CGATGGCAGTTAGGAGGTAAGGGGATCGGCAGTAGGAAGGATAGGGATGCGGAGGTGGAAGGTAGGGGATGCAGGAGGAAGCGGTTTGAGGGAATGCAGTAGGAAGGTAGGGAGGAGGAGGAAGTAGAGGAATGGCAGTCTAGAAGGATAGGAGACGGCAGATGAGGAGGTAGGACGGCAGGAGGAAAGGTAGCGGATGGCCAGGAGAAATGTCAGGGACCGGCAGCGGAGCAAGCGTTAAGGGATGGCAGTTAGGAAAGGGTAGGGATGGCAGGATGGAAAAGTAGGGAGGGCAGGAGGAATAGGTAGCGAGACGGCCACTTAGCGAAGGTAGAGGATGGCACTAGAGAAGGTAGGGGATGCAGTAGGAGGTAGGGACGGCCAGTGGAAAGGTAGGGAATGCAGTACGGAAGGTAGGGATGGCCGTAGGAAAGTATAGGGAGTGGCCAGTAGGAACAGTAGGACGGGCAGTAGGAGAAAGTATGGGATGGCAAGTAGGGAAGGTAGGGATGGCAGTAGGAGGTGAGGGCGATGGCAGTAGGAAGGTAGGGACGCGCGCGAAGTAGAAGGTCAGGGATGGCAAGGAGAAGGTGAGGGATGGCAGTAGGGAAAGGTAGGATGCAGTAGGAAGGATAGGATGCGAGTAAGGAAGGTCCAGGGAACGGCAGTAGGGAAGGTAGGCGACGGCAGTAGGAAGGTATGGACGGCAGGGAGGAACAGGTCAGGGATGGCAGCAGAGAAGGTAGGATGGCAGTAGGAAGTAGGGAGGCAGGAGGCAAGGTAAGGGACGGCAGGAGCGACAGGTAGGCACGGACGAGAAGAGAACGGTAGGACGGCAGGAGAAAGAGTAGGCGATGGCAGTAAGGGGATGGTGAAGGGACGCAGAATAGAAAGATAGGCGATGCAGGAGAAGGTAGGATTGCAGGAGGAAGTAGGATGGCAAGTAGGAAGGTAGGGACGGCCAAGTAGGAAGGTAGGGATAGGCAGAAGGGAGCGGGTAGGGATGCGCGTTGGAACTGGTTTTAAGGGATGGTGTAGGACGTAGGGATCGGCAGTAGAAAGAAGCTAGGGATGCGCAGGAGGAAGGTAGGGCTGACAGAAGGAAGGTAGCTGACGGCCGAGTAGGAAGGTAAGGGTGGCAGGAAGAAGGTTAGGGACGGCAGGAGGAAGGTAGCGACGGCAAGTAGGCAAGGTAGGACGGCGTAGGAAACGGTTAGGAGAATGGCAGGTGGAAGGTAGGGACGGAGGAGCGAACGGTAGGCGATGGCAGAAGCGAAGGTAGGATGGCAGGTGGGAAGGTAGGGATAGGCAGGGGAAGGTAGGGACGGCAGATAGGAAGGTAGGGACGGCGGTAGGAGGTAGGGATGGCAGGTGGAAGGTAGGGACGGGCAGTAGGAAGGTAAGGGACGGCAGGTTGGAAAGGTTCAGGGAGCTGGCAGGTGAAAGTAGGATGGCACGGTGAAGGTAAGGGGAGATGGCAGGAGCAAGGTAACGAGATAGGCAGTAGGAAGGTCAGGGACGGCAGTAGGAGGTAGGGATCGGAGCGAGGTGGAAGGTAGGACGGCAATAGGAAGGTCAGGGACGGGCAGTAGGAACGGTAGGGACGGCAGACTGGAAGGTAGAGAGATGGCAGGTGGAAGGTAGGGGATGGACAAGGAGGACAGTTAGTGGCGGCAGTAGAAGGTTCCAAGGGACAGCCAGTAGGAAGGTAGGGATGGTCAGGTGCGAAGGTCAGGACGGCAGTAGGAAGGTAGGGACGGCAAGTTAGGAAGCGTAAGGGACGGCAGGTGGAAGGTAGGGAATGGAGGTGGGAACGGTTCAGGGATCGGCAGTAGGGAAGATAGGAATGGCAGGGCATGGAGGTTAGGGATGGCAGGTGTGAAGCAGTAGGGATGCGCAAGTAGGAGGTAGGGCATGGCCCAGGAAGAAGGTAAGGGCAGGCAGTACGGAAGTAGGGGCCGGCAGTAGGAAGGTAAGACGGCAGGAGGGAAGGTGAGGACGGCGAGAGGAAAGGTAGGGTGGCAAGGAGGAAAGGTAGCGACGGCCAGTAGGAACGGTAAGGGATGGCAGGGGAAGGTAGCGGCATGGCAGGTGGAAGGTAGGGACGGCAGGAGGAGGTAGGGACGGCAGGGGAGGTTAAGGGACAGGCAGTAGGAAGCCAGTAGGGATGGCACAGGAAGGTTACGGGACGGGTAGGAAGGTCGGATAGGCAGGGGAAGGTACGGGATGGCAGGTGGAACGGTAGGGACGGCAGAGAGGAAGGTAGGGATGGCAAGGTGGAAGGTAGGAGAATGGCAGGTGAGAAGGGGAGGGATGGCAGGAGGAAGGGTAGTACGGACAGGAGAAGGGTAGGAATGGCAGCGAAGAAGAGTAGGGACGGCAGGAGCGAAGGTAGCGGAGGCAGGTTGGAAAGGTAGGCAGATTGCAGTAGGAGGTAGGGATGCCAGGTGGAAGGTAGGGATGGGCAGGAGGGAAGTGTAGGGAGGCAGTAGGAGGTTAGAGAGATAGGAGAGTGGAAGGTAGGAATGGGCAGGAGGAAAGGTAGGTGGCGGAGAGGAACGTAGGAACGGCAGATAGAGAAAGAGGGAACTGCGACAGGTGGAAAGCTAGAAGGCAGGTAGGAAGGTAAGGAGCAGGAGGAAGGTAGGGACGGCAGTAGGCAACGGTAGGACGCTACAAGTAGAAGAAGGGTAAGGGACGGCACAGTAGGAAGTAGTGGATGGCAGGTGGGAACGGTTTTTAGGAATAGGCAGAGGAAGGTAGGGACGGCGCGAAGTATAGAAGTTAGGGATGGCAAGGAGGAAGTAGGACACGGCAGTAGGCAGGTAGGCGAATTGGCAGGTGGAGGTAGGGATGGCAAGGTGGAGTAGGGACGGCAGTATAGACGGTAGGGACCAGGCAGTAGGAAGGTAGCAAGATGGCGGAGGAAGGTAGGATGGCGAGAGGGAAGGTAGGACAGCCAGGTAGAAGGTCAGGGACTGGCAGCGTGGAAGGGTTAGGGATGGCAGTATGTGAAGGTAGGGGAGTTGGCAGGAGGCAAGGTAGGACCGCAAGTTTAGGACGGTAGGGACGGCAGTAGGAAGGCTTAGGTGATGGCAGGAGGAAGAGGTAGGGATGGCAGGAAGGAATGAGGCGACGGCAGGTAGAAGGTAGGATGGAAGGTGGAGATGAGGGCATGGCAGCGAGGAAGGTTAGGGACGGCAAGCAGGAAGGTAGGACGGCAGGAGGAAGGTAGGACGGCAGTAGAGACAGGTAGGGACGGCAGCTAGGAAGGTAGGGATGGCAGGAGGAAGAGTTTAGGAGGGCAAGGAGGAAGCGTAGGGACGGCAGTAGGAACAGGGAGGGATGGCGTTTACGGAAGGTGGAATGGCAGTAGGAAGTAGGGATGGCAGGAGAAGGTAGGGACTGGCAGGAAGAGAAGGTGCAGGCGACGGGCAGGTGGAAGGTAGGGATGGCAGTAGAATGGTAGGCGACCCGCGCCCAGTAAGAAGGTTAGGGATGCACTAGGAAGAGTGGGACAGGCAAGGTAGGGAAAGGTAGCGGACGCAGGAGGAAGGGTAGCGGACGGCCAGGTGGAGGTCAGGGATGGCAGGTGAGAAGGTAGGGATGACAGGAGGAAGGTAGAGCGACGGCAAGTAGGAAGGAGACCGGCAGCGTAAGAAGGTAAGGATGGCAGTATGAGAAGTGTAGGATGCAGCGAGAAGGTAAGAGGACAGGCAAGGTAGGGAAGAAATAACAGAAGAAGACAAAGAGCAAAAAGAAAATAGGAAAGGTAGGGACTCGGCAAGGGAGGAAAGGTAGAGACGGGCAGTAGGAAGGTAGGGAACGGGCCAGTAGGAAAGGTAGGGATTCGGCAGTAGAGGAAGGTAAGGATGCGGAGTAGGAAGCGTAAGGACGGCAGGGTGAAAGGTAGGATAAAGCAGGTGAAGAAAGGTAGGCGCAGTAGGAAGGTAGGCGCAGAGGAAGGTAGGAGGATGGCAAAGTAAAGAAAAAAAGGATAGAGGACGGCCAGAGAAGGAAGAGTAAAGAAGAATGAGACAAAGAGATGGAAAGGATAAGAAGACTACAAGGAGGAAGGTAGGAGACTGGCACCAGTAGGAGGTAGGCGATCGGCAGGTTGGGCAAGGTAGGGATGGCAAAAGAGTGGAAGGTAGGGACGCAGTCAGTAGGCAAAGGATAAGAGGACGGCAAGAAAGAAGGAAGTAAAGGGCATGGCCAAGTTAGGAAAAGGTAAATGGGAAAAACGCGAGCAGGTAGAAGGTAGGGGAATGGTCAGGGTGGAGGTAGGACGGCAGATAGGAATGGTAGGGATCGCAGCGAGGAAGGTAAGGATATGGCAGGAGGTAACGGTAGGGATGCGCAGAGAGGAAAGTAGGACGGCAGGGCAGGAAGAGTAAGGGATGGGCAGTATAGACGGTAGGGTTGGCGGTGGAAGGTAGGGATGGCAGGCAGGAAGGTACGGGATGGCAGGAGGAAGGTAGGGCGCAGTAGCAGAAGGTAAGGGACGGCAGTAGGAAGGGGGTAGGAGATGGCACAGGCTGGAAGGGTAGGACGGCCAGTAGCCGAAGGTAGGATGGCAAGGTCGGAACGGTGCGGATGGAGGAGGAAGGTGGGCCATGCAGAGAGGAGGTAGGGAGGCAGGTGGAAGGTAGGGATGGCAGCGTGTGAAGGTGGGACGCAGTAGAAGGTAGGAGATGGCAGGTGGAGGTAGGGACAGGCAGTAGAAGAGTAGGCGATAGGCAGGTGAAGGTAGGGAGGAGGAGGACGGTAGGCATGGGCGCAGTAGGAAATGGTAGGGATGGCAGGCCAGGTAGAACGGTAGGCGTGGCAGTGGAAGGTAGGAGATGCCAGTAGTAGGAAGGATAGGATGCAGGGGGACGGTAGTATGGCCAGGAGGAAGGTAGGAGATGGCAGGAGAAGGTAGGCGTATGGCAGAGGAAGTAGGGATGCACAGGAGGGAACGGGGGCCGTAAGGGACGGCAGTAGGAAGATAGGAGGCAGCGTGGAAAGGTTAAGGGATGAGCAGGTGGAAGGCGTAGCTGATTGGCAGGTGAGAACGGTAGGACGATAGGCAGGAGGAAGGTAGGGACGCAGTAGGAAGGTCAAGAGATGGCAGCTTGGTGGAAGGTAGGGATGGGCGGCGGAAGTAGGGAGCGCAGGGTGGAAGGTAGGGACGGCAGTAGGAAGGTAGGGACGGCAGTAGGAAGGTAGGGAATGGCAGGTGGAAAGGTAGGGAGGCAGGAGGAAGGTACAAGGGACGCGGCAGAAGGAGGTAGGATGGCAGGAGGAAGGTAGGGCGCAGTAGGAGGGTAGGCGATGGCAGGTGGAAGGTAGGGACAGGCGAGTAGAAGGTAGGGACGGCCAGTAGGAAGTAAGGGATGCAGGAGGAAGTAGGATGGCAGGAGGAAGAGTAGAGACGGCAGCGTGGTTGGAAGGTAGGGATGGCAGGTGGAGGTAGGATGGCAGGTGGAAGGTGGGACGTGGCAGTAGGAAGGTAGGGATGGCAGGTGGAAGGTAGGGATGGCAGTAGGAAGGTAGGGACGGCAGTAGGAAGGTAGGGATGGCAGGAGGAAGGTAGGGACGGCAGTAGGAGGTAGGGATGGCACTGCGTGGCAAGGTAGGTATGCAGCTCGCGCCTGCGGCATGCGAAGGAGATGTGTCATCGAAGTGCACGCTGCAGAACTCGCAGAGGGGGCGGGGGTTGTCACTTATCGCCGATGCAGATTTAAGTACCGTTTTTGTGTTTTATGTATTGGAAGAAATTAACGTAGAGTGGAATCCATTTTCTTGGAAGAAGTTAGTGAGGTTTCGGAATTTTGTTTATGGAACGAGAGCAAGGCAAAGTAGAATTAACCCTGTTTGAATCACTGGTTAGTGTGTGCATCCTGAGATGAATGAGTTTTCTGGGCTCATTCTATTAGCAATAACTTTGTGGTCTTGTTAACACTTGTAGAAAGGAAGCTTCTGGAGTCACTCCCTTTCTCATCACAATGCCCTGAAGAGGAAATGGAACTCTTGCGATTCATGTATGAAGTCAAACTTAAAAAGGTATTTTCACCATTAGGTAGTATATGTGCTACTAGTACAGTGCGAGCTGAGACAGTAAAACCTGTACGTAAGCGTTACTTAGAAGTTAGTGAAAACATTAAAAGTGTCCTTGATAGACAGGTATCCATTCTATAGAGGTGATTCACTGTATAACTGCCACTCAATGAAAACATCAAGTATCCTTTATAGGCATTATATAAGTGTCCTCTATAGAGATGCTCACTGACACAGATTTGAGTTTATCATCTCAGTGTTAATGCTGTAATACGTTAGAAATGTCTGTAGTAGGTAAATGTTTGAATGGCGTCTGCTATGTGGTGGTGTATTATATAATATGTTAATGTGCGATTATGCTACAAGATGCATACACCCTGTTGGCTTGTGTCTATGATAAGCACTAATGTTGAGATATCTTAAGCATAACGTGAAAGTGTGATGCGTGCATCTCTCTGCCACCTTGTTTCCTTTTGGTTTGAATTAGTTACAACACGGCAATTTATGAAAAAGCAAACGAAATAATGATGAGAATTTATCAACACCAATATATTTTTAACAATCTCATGCGAGCCCCCTTTTACCACTGTATTTATTAAGGATATTTAATATAATAAATGAATGTAAAATATTTACAGTACTTAGATATTGAAGTGCGGAATTAATCATATTTGACATGATTCTACGTTGCTATTCGTTTCAGTACGATAAGCCCCTATCTCTGGTTGTGCCAGCCACACTGGGCGCCCTTGGAGACAACGTGGATGTTGTTGTCAACCTAGCCGAGCGTCATTACTACAACTGCGAATTTAAGGACTGCTTCAACATCACGTCGGCGTAAGTATTGCGATGCATGCAGTCTTACTGCGAGGCATAACATCACTTGGTGGGTTCCGTTGTGACCCAGACGGATTTCACTAATTGCACAGAAGAGGGTTTTATCATTAGACTGTCTCCCCTACCCCCTCCTCTAGCTACCTACCTGCACTACCTACGTAGCCACCTACCCTATCTCCCTACCTCCCCTACCTACCTACTTACCTTCCCCACCTACCTACCTATCTACCTACCTACCTACCTACCTACCTACCTACCTACCTACCTACCTACCTACCTACCCAGCTCCCCTATTTACCTACCCTACCTACCTACCTCCCCTCCCTACCTACTCCATCACAGCCTTATCATCCTTGAATCGTCGACGAGGTGTGTCGCGCTGCCCCCCTTCTCGTCGCCGCCGCAGCAGGGGGCGCCGCCGTCCGCGACGTCGCGGTTGACGCTCCCCTCGTCGTCGACGACGGTCGCCGCCTCCTCAGCTTCCGCGGTGGGCTCCCGGAGCGGTCCCGGGATGAGGAAGAAGGAAGCCGTGTAAAAGACGCCGGAGAGGGCCATCGTGCCGACGGCGAGGCCGTGGATCGTGTAGCGGAAGCTGGTCGTGTCGTACAGCCAGCAGGAGCCCGTGTCGTCGCACGCGTTCACCTGCCACAGCCGGCATGCGCCGTCGATGAGCGTGCCGGCGATGATCGGGCCGGGCAGGTACGCTGAAAGACGCCGGCAGGCGAGGTCAGGTCAGGTCAGGTCAGGAGGGTCAGGGCAGGTCAGGTCAGGTCAGGAGGGTCAGGTCAGGTCAGGTTAGGCAGGTCAGGCGACGGTTAGACATCGCAAGCTTACGGTCTGTCTGCTGATGGCAGAGACATGCAAATGTTGAAGGCAAAGAATTTGCAAAAGTGAGAAAGAAGTTGGCAGCAAGCAAGATAAAAGAAAGATCCAGGACACTGGCAGGGTTGGATGCCATGCTAGTGTTGTGTACATTCTGGAGGTGGACTTGGTCTTACTTTTCATAGTAGTTGTCGATATTTGGATATGATTTTATTATTCACGCCGACTTAGTAGAGTTACTTACTTAGCAGTGATGTGGTAAGTGATGAGATGGCCAATGCAATAGGCTTTACCTTTGCATCAACCAATCTGCAAAATTAAGCACGGCAGTGTTTCATTATTGTAAATGCTGTTATTAATATTTAGTATCATCGCCCGAGTGATTATAGGAAATCCTGCGCGCTGATTGGTCGAGACCTAGGTGATTATTTTTTAATAATCACCTCTAGGGTTTACATTGTAGTGGCGCCAAAAATGGCGGCTAGATTTGTAAATGTTACGGTAAATTTTGTCGCGCCAACATTTTTTTTTTTCAAAGAAAATTTATTTTAAATTAATTAATTATTAATTATATATATATATTTAAAAAAAAAAAAAAACTAAATAATTTATTTATTTAGAATAAATTGTCTTAAAAAAAAAAAAATTAATTAATTTAAAATAAATTTTCTTTGAAAAAGGTAATCAGTCGGCAAACAATTATTAGCCGAAGGCGAGGTGAATCTTGTTGAATAATCCCTGAGATGAAATCGAGGGGATTATTCAACAAGATTCACCTCGCCTTCGGCGAATAATTGATACTTAGTGCATGACGTGATGAATCGCTGCAATCTCATTGGATAACGCAGCAGGCATTATGAAGAGATAGTGCCCGCCTTAGCGGGCACTATCGGTTGCGCGACGCATTGTTATTATAACGCATTGTGTTTACGTCACGAATCTCCTGCGTCTGGGCGCCACGCAAGATTTTGGAATTAATGGCGATTGTGTTTGTGTCGAGTGTTTTGTTACATCGAATGCACCGGCAAATTAGGGAGTACAACGAAGGTATATACGCATGAAAAGTAGATTGCATAGTCATGTGATGCACTAAAAACATTAATGCCTGCTGTTGGGGGCACTATGCTCTCATAGTGTTGCTTTGGGAAGGAATAGTGCCCTCGCTACCGCTCGGGCACTATTCCTTCCCTCAGCAACACTATGAGAGCATAGTGCCCCCAACAGCAGGCATTAAAAAATACATATTGTGCGTCTGCGCCAGGAGGTACCATGCCGTATTGTAGAAGCATGTACGACATCTACAAATGTAGCATGTATTCATGTGTCTAGAGCAAGCGATGTTTAGCTGGGTAGCTATAAGCGCTCTAAAAATCTTATCCAGTCCTTAGGTATAGCTTACCGAATGACAAGTGTGATAGCACACACTTCTGAGGGTGTAGACAGAATAGCGCTGCCGATGAATAGGACCATATAAGCAATGAAGCTAGCATTGCATGACTCGGTACAGGATCCGTTGACAGCCTCACCTCCCTCTATGCACACGCATCCAGTAAGGTCCTGTAAAGTAAGCTCACGCTTTGACATTTACGAAATTACGATGTCCGTAAATGTTCAATGTACAGTAAGAAATATTTGTTAAAAATGATAGCAGTTACAGGAGCCATAGCGTTATGATTTCAAAATTAAACATAATTGCTGCATCGTGTCAGTATCACCATCAGACCTGCAACATTTTCAATATTTTTATAGCTTGGTGAAATGGAGTATTTGGTGAGTATAATATGTGCGCAGCGGCCATTAGCCCACTGCTGAAATCTTGAATCTGATTGCCACAGGCATAGTTTTAACAGTTAGGTGTCATTAGGGAAGAAGTGCACTGCTGAATTATATATCATGATTATTCTGATTCCCATCTAATAGTATAAAAGGTGAATAATTGTAGACGGGCATGACTGTCATACCTCTTCTGTACATCCAGCATAACAACCGGAAAAGTAGGTTGTCCCATCCATTCCACATACAGGGCGGAATTCTGTTTTGTCGCATGTGCAATTTGAGTTGCATGCCAGGCTCACGTTATACCTTGCAACAATGGCACAATCGAAAAAGTAGGTTATTATGTGAGTGCAGTCCTGTTCTCACCAATCTTCGTAACACGCTACACCCCAGGTTGGTTGTTGCATCATTAATCATAAGCACATTAAAATGCCGTTTACAACCAAAATGAAGTGCTGTTTAGGCAAATGAGGTTAAACTATGTTTCCAGTCACATACAATACCACACCATTTTAAAATTGGGTGTGTTTAACAGGAGTATAATCATATCAGAAGCAAATAAAAACAGTTTGTTGTTCTTATTCACTCCTGATCATGTATTTAGAACAAACCTGAGTTAGCGTTTTGAACTTCCACACGTCTGTTCAGTATGAAAATAGCCACAGAATGAAATTGCATTGTCAATATGGGCTTCTATACACATGTCCACAATCACAGTAGTAGTGCGACGAGCATTATAACTAATAATTATAATAATTAACCGGGGCTCACATTCCGTCTGCGTCGGTGGTGCCGGCGAAGGGCCGCTGCGTGCAGTCGATGAACATGAGTGCGAGGAAGGAGGCTGCGTAGTAGACTAGACAGATGATTACGGTGAGGCTATAGCCTCGGTTAGCCAGCCGCAGCCTGTGTACGAGGTAGCCTGCGCCGACAAAGCCCACACAGGTCAGCAACGACGCGACACCTGTGGTCCAAGCAACGAAATATGTAGTGACACTACTGTCTAACTAGTGTATTATTTGTATGAGTCTAAGCAACGAGGAGTCGCGAGTGATGAACGCACACACTGCGATCACCGTCGTTGTTGTTCGTTGTTGTTGTTGTTTGTCGTCATTGTCGTTCGTCGTTGTTGTTCGCCATCGGTGTTGTTCGTCGTCATTGTTGTTCATCTTCGTTGTTCGCCATCGTTGTTGTTGTTTGTCGACGTCGTTGTTCTTCGTCGTTGTTCGTCATCATTGTTGTTTGTCATTGTTGTTGTTCACCATCATTGTTGTTCGTCGTCATGGTTGTTCGTCTACGCTCACTTGTTTGATGTTATTGTGTCTATTCTATCGCTGCTCATCTAATTGTCTCTGTGGACAACTTTGAACCTTCCTCATTTATGGAGTGTCATCTCATCGTCGTTATAGATGCCAAGTGGCAGAAAATTGATGAAGAATTACCTGAGTATGCATTGGCGGATGAAGCTGTCAGGTGGAATTGAGCTTCTAGGTACTTGGGGACGAATACGAAGTAGGCGATGATTATGTACATCTTGAATGTGAATCCGAGAACGATGCACATATAGCTGGCGTTTGTCAGCAGGTGCCAGATTGTCTTGCCCAGTGCTGTAAATGTGCATACAAACGAAGGTTTCAGCAATAATTACAATAGCGGTTTTTCCCTCTCTGATTCACTTAAATATTTTTAGACCCATTTTGCTTTAGTTTGTAACTGAGTAGGTTTCACTCAGTAATACGGCTAGTTTAGTAGAGAAGGCTGTGTACGGATTTTGACTCCCGTGAGCATAGCATGTTAATATTTGACAAGCATTATTAATTTAGTCGTCTGGATTCGAATAACCAGTAAGGTGATGTGGACATTTTTTCTTACACGTCTATGGTATGTTATGACTTCATAAATCATGTCCCCTCATTTACCCATATATATTTATATATACATATATGTGTGTGCGTGTGTGTGCGTGCATGTGCGTGAGTGTGTGCACGCGTGTGCTTGTGCGTGCATGTGTGTGCGCGTGTGTGGGTGTGTGTGTAGGGTTGTAGTTCGAGTTGTCACAGCATATGCTGATCCTTGAGCTCTGTGATGGTAACGCACCGCTTGGCTGCGTCTTGATCATGTCGATGATGTTTGCACTTTCCGATTTCTTCTCGACCGGTTCAGCCTCCTGCTCCTTGTCACCTGCCTCAGAAGACTCCCGCGGGATTTTGTCCGGAAACATGGCGATGGGGAGAGTAATGACCAATAGAATGCCTGCTAGTATCACCCCGCCCAGCCACCAAGCTCCGAGCCACTGAGAGTCGGATGGAGTTAGTCCCATTTCTGCAAACAACGTAGCAAGTGCTGGTTCTACACTGTGATAACCACTGCTCATGGTTTAGTTCCAACCTCGCAGTCTGGTTGGTATACCATACACTACACCTGGTCTTGTATACCATATCCTACAAGGTACTTGTACTTTTACTTGTACAACTACATTGCAACAGTAATGCTGTTGCTGTTGATTATGATGATAATGATGTTGATGATGATGATGACGATGGTGATAATGATATTAATACCGGCATGAGCTATTCCCATATGAATGATATCGATGCTATTAGCCAACATGTGCTGAAGCAGTGTATCTATACACTTACGTTGGCCGGGGTCGATGTAGATGCCTAAACAGATCGAGCTGAGGAGTAGACCAAAAGCAAATCCGAGAGTTCTCATCGCAGACAAGATACCTGTGGTATTGAAGGAAAGCCCTGTGGGAGCAGCTGTAAGGAATGCACTTCAAACAAATGTGCGTGTATGTTGATACGCTAGTACATACATGCAAAAATTGCTGTGTATTCATCCGTAATTAAAAACAAGCAAAGTAAGTGCAGAAATCCACAGTGTTTCCTATCTATATATAGAGAATGCTTGCGATACATTTTCGCCATAGACAACTAATTGAGGTATATAGGGGATGGGAAGGGCCAATGTTACCATCACCATACTCACTGAGGTATATAGAGAGCTGAGAAGGACCAGTGTTACCATCACCATACTCACTGAGGTATATAGAAAGGTAACAAGGGACAGTATTACCATCAGCGTACTCACCGAGGTATACATAGGATGGGAAGAGCCAGTGTTATCATTAACGTACTCACCAAGGTATATAGAGCCAGTGTTATCATTAACGTACTCACCGAGGTATATAGAGCCAGTGTTATCATTAACGTACTCACCGAGGTATATAGAGCCAGTGTTATCATTAACGTACTCACCGAGTGTATATAGAGCCAGTGTTATCATTACGGTACTCACCGAGGTATATAGATGCCAGTGTTATCATTAATGTACTTACCGAGGTATATAGAGCCAGTGTTATCATTAATGTACTCACCGAGGTAGATGGGAGCGTAGGAACGGTCGACGTTGTCGTCGACGTAAGCGAAGCCAAGCGTGAAGAAGATTGAGCTGCCGACGCCGCGTATCGCCTCGCCAACGCACATCATCGCGTACGCGATCTCGTTGGCGTTGTCGTCGTCGCCGCAGTCGCCCGCATCTGTGCCGTTGCCGCCGAAGCACGTTGAGTGGCCGTCGCCGTCTTTCGCTGCCACGGGGACCGTCGCAGCGGCGTCGTCGACGCCGGAGCCGAAGACGAAGTGCGGCGCCATGGCGACGAGGATGCCGACGGCGCTGACGACGCATCCGACGGCGATCGCGAGCGGCTTGTGCGCCTTGCCAACGTGGCTTGTGAAGATGATCGAGACGACGAACGTGAGCGTGTTCATCGTCATGAGCAGGCCCGATTGCTTGCTCGGGAACTCGAAGCGCCGCTCGATCGTCGTGATGCAGCCGACGAGGTAGCCCGAGATGCCGTCGGCACCGATGAAGGTCAGCGTCAGCAGCACCATGAACACCTTGACGCTGCGCAGCGGCTGCAGGCAGCGAGGCCGGCAGCCGCCGAGGCCGCAGCTGCTGGACGACTCCATCGCTGACGGATTCTTGCGGATTCTTAGGGATGCTCAGATGTTTACCGATGCTTAGGAATGGTCAGATGCTTAGGGATGCTCACGGATGCTTTGGGATGCTCGGGTGCTTACGGATGCTCATGGATTCACACAGATGCTAAGATGCGCACAGATGCTCACAGGTGCTTTCAGTTGCTTACGGATTCTGACGGAAGCTCAGGTGGTTAAGAATGCTCTCGAATGCTCGCAGATGCTCACGGATACTTACAGGTTCTAATGGTTCTTTCCAATGCTTATGGATGCTCTCTGATGCTTACGGATGCTTATCGGTGCTTTTCAATGCTTATGGATGCTCTCTGATGCTTACGGATGCTTATCGGTGCTTTAAAATTCTTATGGATGCTCTTGGCCACAGACGCTTCCAGATGCTCATGGATACACAGGCAAGCTCGGGGCACGGCTGTGAAGGCTCCCGGAGAGTCGAGGATCGCTGCGTGAGCTGCAGTGGACAACCGCTGCGGGCTTTGTAGCCTGTGCTACGCTGTAGAACGAGGATCCGCAGCATTAGAGCTGAGTTTTATAACGACAAGAAAAGGGTGGTGTGTGCTCGCTCACTGGGCGACTAGTGTGTCACTGCACATGTGCCAGGGCAACGCATGGCGTGCATATGCATAGTGCTTATGTTGTACTAGCGGTTAACAACGTATCTATTTAGCAGTAATTGCGGAAAAACATATTTGAACATTCCGTGGCGCGTCGCTACTATCTGTATCATGGCGGTCTTAGCATTCGTCATCTCTCGCTATGCTAATATTACACGACAATTAAATAGGTAAACGATCTATTCATCAGTTATACACTACATATCACACGTAGTTTATATCAGATAAAGTCCGACAGGAACACACACTGTTTAAAATACATAGCTTATCTATATATCGCATGCAGTATGTAGTACATAAACCATCTATCTGTTAGCTATATACTATCACTATGTATTGAATATATATATACACGATATTATATTTACGTAAAATTAGTATTCTCTCGTTGCCTCTGCTAATTTTGTATGGCACAGGTGCTGTCTGAAAGGCCTTCGCTAATGGCACTTGCTAGTATAGTTAAATATCGGGGTCGAACTACCAAATTAGTCATACCTGTGGTGCGATAAACATTGATCGTGACACTGGAGATACCTGCCCATGATGTGCCCTTTTGTAATCTGAATTTATCTATGATCTATAATCGTCATGTAAATAAGGCTTGCTGCGACTCAATGTGTCTCTCTGCTTGCATGGATGTTCATTCGTCCATATAACTAGATGTTGTATATGTTAATTCGTATCTATACTTTCATTGGAGAAAAATTAACCTCGAATTCAGCCTCCTTTAAGGAATAATTGTGGATGATGGTGATGATTAAATCGTTGTCTGCTTGCAGAGTGCTGAACAAAGATCCATTTCACAGTGACTGCCTTCCTGTCCACATCGCTTGTCTAGTAGAACTTAAGAAACCCAATGGTAAGCAATGATGTCAATGACTAAGATATTTACGCGGTGCATCAGTAGGATGGTTATAGTGCGTTCCGTGACCAGGATGGCCCTTAAGATGTTTAGCCTGAGAATGTTTGTGACAAATAAGTTATGTCTGATCGAAAAAGAATTTGAATCCCTGCTATATAATCATGGTTCGCACAGTCCTTGAAAACTCCTTGAATTTGATGAAAATGTCCTTGAATTTTTAGAAAGAATCCTTGCCTGTAATAAAAATAAATTTTGTACTATCAATAATGTGCAAACCTCAATAAAAATTGCGTTAAATGAGCTTAAAAAGCTATAGACACGATAGACAGTTAGATGATGATCACAAATTACAGTAAGTCAGTAAAATCAGTCAGAAAATCAAGGTATGTTGTAGAAGTGACAGTGTTTAGAAGGGTTTATTAATGTGATCCAGGTAAGTTTTAGAGGTGACATGCAGTGATTAAGAATGGGGTTATTAAATTAATCCAGGTATGTTTTGTTCTGTGTATGAATTTCGATAAAATGTCCAATAAAATGTCCTTGAATTTCAGATAAAATGTCCTTGAAAAGTCCTTGAAAATTTTTTCAGTCCTCTTGTATGAACCATGATAATACATATGCAACCTATCAGGACATTAGACGAGTAAATTATACGAAAAATAAATGAATAAACAGCAGGTCTTACAGGCTGTGAATCGTTTATTAGATTCCTGGGTGTTTAGTGCGGATGGTTTACATTTCTGTTACGTAGCATGACAAGGTCATATCAATATTGCCAATATCTCTGCTCATTCAATGCATACATCGTGGTGGTGATAACATTGTGTGAACTGCTCATGCCTAAACCAATAGCATCAGGTGACCGATGACATATTGTAAATGCACGTGAATAAAATCTGTATTTGCCAGTGCGTTTTATAATAGTTTGCTATGTTTGGCTATTCCAGATTTGTTCTATCTTGCACATAAGCTAGTTGATCTCTACCCAGATAAACCGGTGAGTAGTGTGCCAACAGGCAGATTAAGAGTATTATCTGATATCATATAGGGCACTAGTTTAAGCAGCATACAAGTCTATCAAGCCTCGGTATAAGCTGGCCATCTTATTCATTGCTGACATTTAATGTAAACGTGAGAGGTATAAATAGTAGTAAATACGGCTGAAGGGGTCGTTGACGTATATGTACCCGAGTATAGTACCCGAGGTGTCGGCGAGTATGTCGCCTACGCCTACTCCCTAACCCTAACCCTAACACCCTAACTCTATCAAATAGTTACCTCGAGTACATATTAGACGCCATTGTACGACAACGACCCTTCGTGCGTAAATACATCGTCTAGGCTAAATAAGCTATAACTAGACTAATTAAGATGATCGCCATATATGATTTGCTGCGTCACACTTGCCTACGTAGAGGCATTTGCGTGATATTTCACCTGCAAACTGCTATTCTGGTCACCAGGTGGCGTGGTTCGCAGTCGGCTGCTATTACCTGTTGGTGAAGAAGAATGATGCAGCAAGGCGATACCTTAGCAAGGCTACAACCCTGGACAGGGTCTATGGCCCAGCATGGCTTGCATACGGACACTCCTTTGCTGTGGAAAATGAGCACGATCAAGCGATGGCTGCGTATTTCAAGGCATCGCAGCTCATGAAAGGGTGTGATATGAGTTCTGTGCCTTACAAACAAATTACTTAGCGTGGGATGGAATCAAGAGCATCTTAATTATTCTAGACCATACAAGGGGGAAAGTTTGAAAATGCTGTCATAGCTGCAATGAAACATTCCATAAAGTGTAAATTTTGGATAAGATACTAACTTAGACACATGAGATTGATCTTTTTGGCTAGCCATTTCTTAAATTTAATGGGTTTATGAACTTACACCTCAACTCGAGAATGTACGAGGAGTATTCAATTAGCTGTATTGTGTTAGTAATGGGGAATGAGTGGGCATCAGGCAACTCTTGGTATCTGTCTTATATCTTATATTTAAATATCTATTTTGTACCTCAGCCCAACAACTGAATATTTGAATATTGTTTAACAAAGCAGTTCTACTGTTTCAGGTGTCACCTGCCACTGCTATACATCGGCCTGGAGTATGGACTTACCAACAATGCTAAGCTTGCTGACCGATTCTTCAGCCAAGCTCTGGCCATTGCACCGAGCGATCCATTTGTCTTGCACGAGATGGGAGTGATTGCTTTCCAGAATCACTAGTGAGAAGCTTGGTGTTTTCAAAAAGCAAATATAGAACCTGCATGCATCTGTAGAACTAATCATTGTGTGTTTGTGGTTATTATAAGTTTCATTTCCCTAAATGAATTGGTACTACTTTGTGGTTATACAAGTTCATATATGCTTAGGAAATGTGCCAGCTTTATATATTTGTAGGTAAAATGTAATCCACATGTTTAAACTATAGCAATACACTTCGTGCTTATTACGTTAATTGGGAATAAAACCACACAACCTCACCTTGCCGTTCCTTATTACCCCACAAATTCTACAGTATAACTAGATCACCAAATTAACTGTTCTGTTTAATAGTCATATATTAGCTGCAGCGCAATGTGTTGTAACGTACTGTAGCGCTCGTACTAATTTGCCATCACTTGTTGTAGCTGGGAGACAGCAGAGAAGTATTTCAGTGAAGCCCTCAGCAGTATAGAGGCCGGGCAGCAGTGTGTGTCTGTGGAGAAATGGGAACCATTACTGAATAACCTTGGCCACGTCTGCAGGAAGCTAAAGTACGTGTCAGATATCACACAGTGTAGTGTTCACATAGAGCAGGGAGGTCCTCTTCGTTCAATAGTGTATCTGCTAGTATTTATATATGTGATATGTCACTACGTGCGTGCGTGCATGTGTGCGTGCATGTATATGTGCGCATGTGTGTGTACAGGTATGCATGTGTGTGATATTTGGCACATTCGGTGACATTTCGTAAAATTAAGTTTGTAATGTTGTCAGTTGTCAGCTGGTGCTGCCCTCTACATAAACTATACATAGTGTTACCTGTTTTATACTGACTGGGCGGCTCGCTGTATTCAGAGCTCACTTTGCAAGTCTGTGTGTGTCTTCACTGTCTGGAAGCAAATGCATTTTTTAAATATTTTCCCGTAGGAAGTACGAAGAGGCGCTGGATCACCACCGCAGAGCTCTGATTCTCTCCCCTCAGAATCCATCGACGTACTCGGCGATGGGTTACGTTCACAGCTTACTAGGCAACGCTGCCATGGCCGTATACTACTTCCACAAGGTACTGCAGCGTACCTTGGTTTACGTCAATAACGTTGGCATACTCCGAGGAGTAATGAGTGACAGTATGAACTAGAAAGAGGGCACTCACGGAGAGTGCATACCTCCGCCAGCGACATACGCCATACGCCCCGTGTAACATGTATGCTGCTGGCTGCTGCTGACTGACTGGCCTGCTGCTGGCTGGCTCGCTGACTCGACGCGCTAATATCAATCGCGCGAACGCACTAACGCACGAGCGATCACATAACCTCCTGCAACTCCGTTGCGGAGGTAATGAATAGTCTGTTCTGTACCATAAATTCGTAAACTCATAAACTGTAACCATATAATCGCTGTGTCAAATCGCAGATGACGATTATTAAATTGCGTCGGCTCACGTATATTGAATTTTCGTTGAAAATTTGAAGCTTGATTTTATTTGCATTTGAAATCATGCATTAAAAGGGATCGTTTACTCTAGGTTCTAGGGTTATTTTCAGTTAATTTAGGTTAAAATTACGTTACATAAAAAGTTTCATGGTTTAATCACCATTAGAAATATTATTAAAAAATGTTTTAAAACTAACGACTACAGTTTGATTACAACGACAGTAGCGCCACTCAAAGCACACGATCTGATAAGTTGCACAAAACCACTTTTCAGCCTAGGGCTACAGACCGAGGGTGTTTCTTATTTATTAATTTAAAAGCAAAAGGATTGTAATATCTTATAAACGACATATAGTTTCAGTTATAATATGGATAAATTTGCCCTAAAATGAATATCGTTCGGTTAAATAGCATTTAGGTATAAATTTAATTGCACTTTTGTGATTAGCCCTCGGTCTGTAATGTGCAAAATAAATTGTCAAATACGCAAATTTTTTGGGGTGGCAGCATGGTCGCGGGTGTCATGGCGCCGTTCAAATTTCGTAGCGTTGATGTGTAATTGATTATAAGAATTAAATTAGGTATCTGGTAACAAATACGTGTGGGTATAGACGATTTGTTATACAGTAAGTACAGTTGTATGCAGTAAAATCCTAGAGTCTACTATCCCTTTAAGTTTAACTAGTTGCGATGCTTGCGATTATGTGTGCAGTGAGGACTGTGATGATTTGTGTGTGTGTGTGTGTTGTGCAGGCGCTAGGTCTGAGGAGAGATGACACGTTCAGTACGAACATGCTGGAGAAGTGCATGCAGCAGCTACTGAACGAACTCAACCCGTGTGAAGGTAAACATATGAGAGCAGACGCAGACGCAGGCTACATGTCGCGTTAACATTCTTCACAAACACTGCTTGTCTATGGGCATCTTTAATTCGGTGAAAAATAATTGGATAAATGGGGGAAAAATTTAATGTGATCTGTAATAATAACAACAGAAGCAACAACAACAACAACAACAACAACAATAACAACAGCAGCAGGAGCAGCAATAGCTGTAGCAGTAACAACACAACAACAACAACAACTATTATTATTATTAATGATTAGTTCCCTTCGCCGCAGACGTGCCGGACGACCTGCCGATCCCGATCAACCGCAGCGGCGTCGAGGAGATCATCACGGAGACGGTGGATGACAGCGAGCTGGCCGGCAGCCACGAGCAGCAGCCGAATCTCTCCTCCTTCCTCGCCAACACCAGCGACAGCGTCCTCGTAGAGGAGGTCTCCATGGACCTCGAGGGAAGCAGCTGAGACCTCGAGTACGTCTTACTGAACGAAGTTTCGCGTAACTGAAGAAGCTGAGAACCGACACGTCATTGAGGAGATCTCCATGGACCTCGAGGGAAGCAGTTGTGACATGGCGCGCCATAGAAGAGCTCTCCATGAACCTCGAGGGAAGAAGCTGAGACGACAACCCGCCATAGAGGAAGTCGCAGGCTCGAGACGCGGCGGCGCGCCGCACGATCATTCGTTGTAAATTATTGGGCAGATGATAGTGTTTTTATCGTTGGAAGAAGACGTTCGGACACGCGAAAGACACTCGAGGGTGAATTTTCTGTGAGGCGTCGAAGTGTTGTATGCAACAATGCGTGTGTGATGTGGAATAATAGGTTACCTAGAGTGTTACAGAAACTGTAATGACAATTAACCTAATTCTCATCCCCCGATGGCTGACATTGTTTGTATGAGGTCTACATCGTTACCAGGTACTAATTTTCTGTACTTGAAGAGCTATGAATTCTTTTTGCGAAAACAACAACCGTTTTGAGCCATATTTCGTGAATATGAGACTGTAAATAAAATATATAATTTGTTAGAAGAATTCATTTCTGTTGATATCTGTTTATTTTTGTCATGTCATTCTTATATACAGATGATATCTAACGTGAATCATTGCAGGCATTTTCGTTATATTACCGTTTCAAGATAAAAAAAAACGTAGAAGTATTAAAAGGTAACAAAAAAGTACAAGGCGCATTTTTTCCCCAATGGCTTCCCAACATCTTAACAACTGCAAACACATTAATTATGTGGAAAGTGGAACACGCAGAATCTGATAGGTATACGTACAAACAGCAGCGAGCAAATTATGTTGCTACGTGAAGTCTGGAACGCGCAGAATTTGACAAGCGATCAGAATGAGACGAGTTGATAATTAATGATTATTAATGATAATTAATGATTCAGATCGAATGAGACAAGTTGATATTTAATGATTATGCAGTAGGTCTACAAGCATGCGATGATAATATCAGGAGTAAGATAATATAGGATCTATCCTATATTATCTTACTCCTGATAATATGTAGCTTAAGGGCCGGACACACTAGGCGATTTAATCGGGCGACTGAAATAATCGCCCGGACTAATATCAAAACGTTTTGGGGCGGACACACTAGCGGATTTTACACCGGTGGGCATGAGTGCTGCTGGTGGTACGTGCGTGTGTGTACAGATACACGTGCGTGGTGCATGCATAGTGCGGTAGACCGTGCGATGCGTGCGTGTCACGTACACCGTGCGTGCAGCGATGCCGTGCGTGCTGTGTTGTAAACGGCGTGCATGCGTCCGTGTGCTGTAGTGCTGCGCTGTGTGCGTCCGGGGTGGTGCGTGTCAGTATACGTCGTACAGTGTGCAAGTTACACGTGGTGCGTGCGTGTGTGAGTAGACGTGGGCTGCGTGCGTGTGACACGTAACACGTGCGTGCATGCGTCGCGTGCGTGCGTCGGCACGTACACGGGCGTGAATGAGTGTGTGCGTGCGTGTGTACGTACACGTGCGTGCGTGCGTGCGTGCATCGCTATTACATGACATGACATACTAAACATCAAACATCGCTATTACGTCAGTATCATTGAACAACTCTGATTGGCTGATGAATTGTACAATCGGGCGACTAAATTATCGCCGACCCGGACACACTAGGCGATTTTATCGGGCGACTGAATTAATCGCCCGATAATATCAAAATGTTTTGATCTATGCGATGTTTAAATCGGCGGCCTGGACACACTAGGCGATTTCACCGGCGATTTAGTCACCCGATTTAATCGCCCGATAAAATCGCCTAGTGTGTCCGGCCCTTTAGGAACGGAGACTCCGCGAGCTGCCGCAACAGCAGTGCATCAAAGAGCCTGCATCGAAAATATGAAATCAGTATTGCGTTATTTTTGTTGGCTGTATGATGTGTGGAAGTGACAAAGGTTGTCAGGTCCACATTGGTGCTGTGTGTATTAATGCCCCTGTGTGCGTTAATGGGATTATGAGGATATAATCAGGCTCCTGATATAAGGGAGCATATGGCTGGAAACGTGGTTTCGGTAATGCGTGTCGGTACACGCATACGCCACGTACGTTACAGCATAAAAAGACGCAAGAGTGAGAGTAATTGCGACGATATCAAAATGTTCACTGCCAAATGTGTTGAGTTTCTGACTTGTTAATTGTGATCGAACTTTATCGTTACTTGTTTTATATAGGAAGCCTTATGCTTCATATGTGTTTTCTTATTGTATTTTGATTGTTGTTATGTTTGTGTATTGATTGTGGGTTGTTTAATTGGACAGAAAGACGTTTCTCTCGTTGGGTTGAGTTAGGAAAGTATTAGGGTAGTAATTTTTTTTTGGAATTGTTTAGGTTTAGGGTGAAGTGTAGATCAGCGGGGACGCTGAATCGATGACAGGGTAGTCATCGTTTTGGGGAAAAGGGAGATAATGTAACATGTGTTTTGCACGTGTTGCATGAATTAGTCAGCGAGGCTGGACCGGGAGTTGTTGTAGTAATAGTCTATCTAGACACAGCGTCGATCGCGCATCTTGTTGCGGCTACATTGATGCATTAGGGGGAATTGGATAAGCGTGTCTTTAGGTTAGGCAGTTTCTAGGGTCATTGTGAAATGGGGGTAGGATGCGGTCTGGGAGAGCGGGTACATGTGCGTGCAGGATGTTTGTAGGAGTTTTGGAGGGATATATATGACAGAGATGTAAGAGTCGAGAGGATTCTGGTTCTGGTCGCGAGAGAAAGCGCACGCGCGTGCCACCCGCGTGTGCGTGGTTTTGTGTCTCTTTGTGCGATGTGTCTACACTGTATGAGTAATTAAAGAATATTCCGGTTACAACACAAGTTTGGCTTTATATCATCATTCCTGTTTACACTACACAAGCCGGGAATACGTTTAGTGGCTTATAGATAAGACTGTTATTCCAGAACAAAACATGTCCGCATTCGCGGAGGTAACATACAATATAAGTTATATACCCTGGGTTTATATCCGCTCTATAGCTCCCACTCCTTTCCCCTCGGTAAAATAGTCACGTTTATCCTAATTTCTGCATTCTATCTAACTACTCTCTCTTTCGTGTCCCTAGCTAGCTACCCTAACTGTTGTCTAACTTTAGTGTCGATTACTTAGTGCGTCCCTCCCTAGATCGTGGCAAAGTCCTCTTTATATAGCCCCCCCCCGCTGATTCAAATGCACATATCTTATTAACCAATGATAACACTTTGCGCCGAAAATTACATATTGCGCGTTGGTTACTGACTTTGCGCATCGCGGATTGAAGAGACATATCTCTC